GTGTGTTTGAAACTCGACGGGCGCAAAGTGCGCCGAGTTACTTATTCTTTTTCAGACACGAAGAAATCGACGAGTGCTTCTTTCCGGCGAGTCGCGCTCCCGAGGATCGCCCACGGCGATTTTGCGCGGAGCGGACCTTTATTTCTTTTTTTTGCATAATTTCGCTATTATGCCACGTCGCGGCGACATTCGACGATTGCCGGTGTTCGGTTTCGCTGATAGAACGTTTTCCAGCGACGGCGAGCGATGGCGAGGCCTCATCGTCTAGCGACGGATTTCATTTCGCGAAAGGTGAGACGAATCGGCCCGCCGCCGCCGCGGCCGCCCAGCAATTAATTGCGATCGATCGTTTCGTCGCGCTCGTGTCTTATCGTGGCCCCGTTTTATCGTCGGGCCGCGCGAAAGAGGAAAACCTCCCCCTCCTCCTCCCGGCCTCCCTATTGTCGTGATTTTATTCGATCGAGATTACCGCGCCAATCCTTATCGCGATTATACGCGCCGGAATTTTAATGAGCGCGGGGAGATTCGGACTCGCGCGACGACGGTTTTCTTTTAATTAGTCGCGTTTAATTACCGCGGGCGCTTTCGCGCTCTTTCGGCGAAGATAAAATAATGAATATTTATTTTTTCCCTCGCGTTTTCCCCTTTCAAGCCTCGTCGTTACTGCGATTTCCGTGGAAAAGTTCATTGTGTAAATTTAAATATCGGACGAATTTTAATTTCAAAATTTTCTCACGCGTTCTCGCAATACGTTACGAATAATTATATTTTCCCCGATAAATCGCGTTTTCGCTCCGTCGCCGTCGCGTAAATTCAAAAAAGTCTATATAAATGGTCTTTTGTCTTCTTTTTCAAGTTCCTGCGCTTTCCAGGATCAAGGATGTCGAAGCGGCTGAGCTTCTACGGTCTGGTAGCCCTGGCGTCCGTCTGCATCTTCTTCCTAGCGTTTAACCAGCGCTACAGCAGCTACCTCGAGCACCGGCTGCAGCCGGTGATATCGGTCAGTAAATATTCGGAGGTGGGGTGATTGCCCTAAATTGAGTCACGCCAAACACACACGCTCTTTCTGACGGTAAAGTCTTAAACTTTTGCACCCTAAATTCTTTTTCTTCATCCATCTGTCTTGACGCGAAGCGAAGACGCGCGAAGGACCGACGCGCGCGACTCCTCTTTCTCCCTGTTTCCATCTCTCTTTGTGTCCGCCGCCCCCTCCCTCTTTTCCTTTCACACATCGCTATCTGTCGTTTACGAAATGTCAGAGGATCAACCGCGTCCTGAACGATGAGATATTTTGTCAACTGCAATATATTTTATCGGAGACCATCAGCTCGTTGGAAACTAAATCGACAGGAAGTTCACGACTTGCTGCAATTCGGCACCATTTAACATTTGACAATTCGTATTTATGAAATTTGAATAAGAAAAGACACCTGGTAACATGATAATTCGAAATCAGCATGATCGCGCGTAGAGATTGGCACTTTTTAATCATTCACCTTCACTCTTGACAACAGTAATCTCACGGTACAATCATGGGTATCTCGCTGCTCGCACCTGCATCCTTCAGAAACATCAAACACGCTACCTAGAATTGAGAAAGAGAGGGAGAAAGATCGTTGTTCCCACGTCACGATTGTTTCCATCAGCGAATATATATTCGTGCTCACGACGCGAGACGCACAAACGAAACGCTAAAACGTCGTTGCTTTTTTTTTCTCCCACGATATAGGATATTGAGATAAGGCCGCGGACCACCAAAATCCAAGAGCCGGTAACGGTGAGCCAGGTATGCACACGTATCGATCTGAATGCGCAAATGCTGCAACTTGTTGTTAATTGTTGTTTAGAGTGCCACTTATCGTTAGAGTGCCTTATCTTATCGCAATGTTGACACAGCAAGCATAGCGAAAGCTGTAACTAGCTCCTGTCCTTATGAAATAGAGATTACTCTTTTATGCAATTTATTTTCCACGATGTTAACTTTAATAGAGTATAGTAAAATTGTGTGTTTTTTTATCACTTCTAAAAACATACGTGTTTATATTTATAACATTATTAATTATATTGTTATTAACTGACAAATAAGATGGAAAAAACAATTTATATTTTTAAAAATTTATATTTTTAATAAAGAAAGCTAATCCGCGTTTTTTAATAGATTTTAATTCGTTTCATTGCATGTGATGTCATACATTAAGATCGATCGAATTTATTGAATTATTACTCTGTAGAGCTTCTGCTCATTGTATAGATATGTATATATATGTTTTTGTGTGTGTACTAGCTTTTTACTAACGTATATCCTTTGTTTTTGGATTATAATTTTAAATGTTTATTCTGCTTGTTCGTGAAATATAAACGATATTTGTTATCTTTATTACATGTATCTTATTTCTAGAGAGATGAAGATATATAAATATAGATACTGTTTTTAACTAACGTTTGTTGGTCCATGCGATTTTCAAGTTTATCTTCATTAAATTAGCGGAGTGATTAAAAACTGTCTGCTATAGAAATCTGCTTTTATGTGATCAAATATCAAAATGTGATTTCATTTTCCTGTTCGCTTATTTAGGACATGTATATCGCATACCCGTTTCAAAGTTAAAGTGTTTTTCTTTTAACCCTGCATTTATTTGTAATGTTGGCTAACAAGTAACGAGTAATAATTCCCTGTTTAGTAATTGGTTTCAATTTGCTTTTTAGGCGTATATCACAGGATCCGCGTACAATGGCACGATCACCGAAATTCAGGAGGTGGTTGACCAACAAAGGAGGACGATCGCAAGAGAGATGGAAAATTATGAGTATCCAAACGGAAGATATGGGATAAATGTGAGGTAAACTACGCGCGTGAGAATGTAACTTTCGTACCGAATTTGAAAATCAGAACGTTTAACTATTACCCGTTTGCAGCAAACTTGAAGATTTAGTGATGGAGAAGGGCGGTAGACCCATGAGAAGCGTAATTCTGACGAGCTGGAGAAGCGGCAGCACGTTTCTCGGCGACGTAGTGAACGCGCATCCAGCCAATTTTTATCATTACGAACCGCTGCTTGACTATGGAATTGTGCAAATCCGAGAGCCGCCGCTCGCTGAAGAATCCTTGACAAGGATAGTCTCTCTGTTGAATTGCGAATACAAGGAGCTCGGTAATTTCACGCATCTTTAAAATTTCTATAATTTATCTCGAGGCGCATCGTTTAATGATTGCGTATAATTGTAATTACAGATCGGTACCTGGATTATGGGAAAACTCATCCTTGGGTATTTAATCACAACACGCATTTATGGCGGCAATGCCAAGCACATAAACGCATCTGTTGGGATCCGCGTTTCGTTTCTAAATTTTGCCGACTATTTCCGTTCCAATCGATGAAGCTCGTACGATTGAGGTTGCGAATAGCGGAAAGTCTTCTGGCCGAAGAAGCGTAAGGAATTATGCGATAATCGTAAAGCATGCGATGGTCTTTAGATCTAATTTGGACATTAACGTCTCTTCGTACCGCGTAAAAACATGCGTTCATCTGTATTGCAGTTTGGGTGTGCGACTAGTTCTTCTCATTCGTGATCCGAGAGGTATTCTGCAATCCAGAAAACACAGGGAATGGTGTCCTACTAAGCCCGATTGCTCCGATCCGGCTCTGGTTTGCGCAGACATGGTATCGGATTTTAGCGCGGCGGTAGAACTGTCAAAAAAATATCCACGTTCTTTTAGGTATAACACCGGATAATCAATATAATCATACCGTTGCTTTGCCAGTCACTGTACGTCGGCATTTGCAAAAATTTATTCCGCGCACGATTTTCAAACGACTTATTAAAATCATCATATGAATTATAAATTTCATTAGTATGAAAGATTGAACGTTTATTAACATTCATATGTGATAAATAGAGTGGTACGCTACGAGGACCTGTCCGTGGATCCCTACAAGCACGTGAAGGAGCTTTACAATTTTTACGGTTTGAACTTTCACGTGAACGTGAAGAGATTCCTGGACACGCATACGAAGACCGACGTAGGCGGGGTGTCGAGCACCTTCCGGAATTCCAAGGTCGCACCATTTCACTGGCGGGCTGATTTAGACTTCGAAGAGGTTCGTGAAATACAGAAGGTATGCGCGACCGCCATGCGATTGTGGGGATATGTGATGGCCTTAAATTCCACACACCAAAAAGACTTCGATCCTATCACAAATTACCGGCTCCAGTTGTGACAACTGGCAGGCGACATGCTCAATGTAGATAATATGATGTATAGTATATCAGTATAGCGAACGGCAGCGGTCGAAAGTGCCGTAGTTCATATAAATATTCAGCGAAAGGTGCTAGCGGTCACTCAGGAAGATAGCCACGTAATGAGAATTAATGTTGATTTATTCGAAAGGGAAAACTTACGGAATGCCGATTTTTTAGCTTTGTGAAACCGATAAGAAGGCTACTTCTTTAAATGGCGACATACTCGAAAACGAGATTCGTTCGTAATTTTTCTATCGTATAACTAACACGATCTAAATCACAGGGTGTTAAAGTAAATTCCTGAGAGCTTGACGTGCGACACAAATTATGTCTAACCATATCGACGCAAACGTTGCAAGTGCATTCAAAACGTTTCTAAATATTGAATCTTTCAAGAGAGAGGAAGGGTATTTTGTGTCTAATGTATAAACTATATTCATTAATATTAATTGTAATTATAGATAACTTGTAAAGAGATTTGTAATGATCATTGAATCATTATATTGTCTTTTTACATCTTTAAGAAATAATCCACATATGTAAGAAACTGAAATTTTTATATCGATTACGGAACACAAAGTATATACCCCCTCCCTTCTTGGATTCATACTAATTCATCGCTAAAAGCAAGAGACGACCAAATTTAATTTTTTATCTTATTGATCAATGACATGTTATTACTATATTACGAAATATATTCAATATGAAACAAAGAATATTTATCTAATAAGAATTGTATCGTGTCCAATGACAGAAAAGATCTTAACCATCGATCGATGGTGAACGAAAACTGAATCTCATGTAATGTTAGGATCGTGTTTTGCAATATCATGAATCAGCGGCGGTGTTGAAAATTTATTTCTGCGCCGTCTGACGGAAAATTTCTACCGATATTCAATGTGATTCACGAAAAGGAGAAGTACGCAATATCAATTAGCTCGTTCGTGTCACGGAACACTCGATCTTATCTCTTGCTCATCGCAACGTTCCGAGGAAACAGCCGGGCGGCGTATGTCAAGGACAAGAGTGAGTTTCCACTCCACCGGCCTTCGATGCGGCCAACGACGAATTATTACGAGTATATAGACGCGACCAACTTGCCCGCAAACGCGTGTGATTTTTATAATGTACGACATGGTCGTAATAGCACTGCACACTTTAGATAAAAGATAGAAATATTACTGTGAGCTGTTTGTTGGCGATTTAGAATAAGAATACTTTTTTAAATCTTTACACGCTACATATATTGATTATCCTGGACAGCCTGGCCGGTTCGCTGGCACATTCTCCGTTATGTATTATAGTGTAATTACGTTATATCTTATGTACTCGCGTCCTTGTGTTATGCACCGAGCGCCAGATTATTATCAGCTCTCTGTGTGATCGATTAAACCTTCTCACGCGTTCACTTAAAGTAGAATCGATTTCAATAAGCGTATATTATGTTATTATACATAATAGAGTTCGGATATTATGAAACGAGATATTATGATCCTACCACCTCCCCTTTGTTTTATTGGAGGACAGTCTTAACTCTCCAAAGTTCGAGCCCTAATTATTATTTACGTTGTTCCATTATCACCCTGCATGAAACAAAGATTAACGAAATGAATGTGATGTTTCTCGTACGCACGGATGAGATCTGACTATAGCGTTTCGCACAAGTTGACGAGCCACTGACGCGGACGCTAATGCAAATTCGCAATAACACCTTCGTGCAATCTCACGCCGTTATTATGTACTATTTCTCGCGGAATGGGTATCTAGTCCAAGAGGAACGCGTATTACTTCGCATTTTGTACTTTAGATGTAAAGGTTCTCCAATAAAAGAATCACATTTCTATGGAATATGTTCGCTATTTATTTCATCTTGTCCATCATCTCTTCCCATCCATATCTTTCATTTTTCATCTTCTCTCTCCCTAAAAAGTAACACAAAACTTTTTAAGCAAACAAAACGTAGTAATTGCAACTTGTGCAATTTTTCCGTTTATTGGTTCAGTAAATTTCTAATTATCACTACACATCATAGCGTATATTTATAAAAGCATCATTAAAAAAAATAAATGTCAAATGTTTTTTAATACGTTTCTAATTTTTCTTCATTAAAATGACTTAGATCTTCCTCAATTTCACATTTAAATATTAATAAAAAAATTTTTAGAAACGTTATAAAATTTATTGATGTCAATGATCTGTTTTACCTTGACGTCCGGCTATCTTTAAGCAGCAAAGTTAATTGTGCATCTGTAACAAAAATAACAACCTTAAGATCAAATACAAATGAAAAAAATTCTTTTTTTCTACCAATAAGATCAGCGAGGGCAAGAACCAATCATAGATATTCAGGATAGCGTATATATTTCATAACATCATATTCCATATCTTATAATCTTGTATCATGGGTCAGTATTATTCCTATAATTTAACTAGTATTTTCTTTAATATTTACCTTCAGGAATCTGTACGAATCACGCACAAGGTCACATTGTTTCCGCAAATCAATATCGATCTGAAATTAAACACAAAATATTCTTTATACACAGTACTTGTACAAAAAAAAGTTAAAATAATTAAATTTTGTTATCAGATAAAAAATTTTGCAGCAAGGGATTCTCAGACATATGCTTGTCAATTTTATAATCATCATACAATCAGAAAAAATATATTTAAAAAAACAAACAATTCTTACTTTATTGAGAAAGATGTCATTTTGATGTACAGTTCATTATTCAAGGTCACATTGTTTCCGCAAACCAATATCGATCTGAAATTAAACAAAATATTCTTTATATACAGTACTTGTACGAAAAAAAATTAAAATAATTAAATTTTGCTATCAGATAAAAAATTTTGCAGCAAGGGATTCTCAGACATATGCTTGTCAATTTTATAATCATCATACAATCAGAAATAAATATATTTAAAAAAACAAACAATTCTTACTTTATTGAGAAAGACGTCAATTTGATGTACAGTTCGTTATCACTTAGCGAAATGACTACCTTGCACATTCTCCGTGCATATTTCTCACATTCTGGAAAAAGAAATTGTTTCCGTTAGTTTGGAAAATTGCACTTATATTGCGCAATTAATGATACATATTGATACATCAGAAAATTTCCATCTTTTATCACCATCTTTTTATGTATGACAGGGATAACTTAAATTCAAAATTCATCATGTCTTAATTATTCAGACAATAAACCTAACTTTCACAATATAACTTTGACGTTATCTTTCTTATTAACGGTTTTATTAAGAAATTTTAGACTTACGTTAATTCTTATTGCATTTCATGGTCTGGCCAAGATTTGCCTTCATCCATTCTTCAGATAAACATCTAAAATGGTATATACTCCTATAATAACATGCATAATTCATGTTATATTTCTTCTATTTACACATTCTCATTGAAATTATTGCTATTCAGAAACAATAATCATCAAATGCATTCAGATTGACTGAGTGCGGCTTTATTTGTATATTCATCATGCATTGTTAATTATAATTATCTTTATTATAACTGTGCTGACGAATATTACAAAACAGTATATATATTATTAAGTTTGAAGCAATAATATAGATAACTTACATGAACGCCCGAGTTGAAGAGGAAATTTGTAACAGGCCGCAATCCACTCCTCCATCTCTTCCTAATTATGAGATACATGAATATTAAAATGCATTCTCTCCGTAATATATCAATACAAAAACAAAATAGAAACAATTTTATCAGTAAATCGACTCATTCATAGTTTTCAGACTGGGGCGATAATTATCATCATATTTTTTATTTGTAGATCTTATATTGATCGTAGAAATATCTTGTTTTCTTATGTTACATTAAAATACACAAAGCAAAAAATCGAATCTATTCGCAAACAGGAAATCTACTTGCGTGATCTTGGTCCAAAGCAGAAATTCTATTCTTAAATAAATTTATATATCAAATAAAGTTCTCAGACTGGAGCAGTATTTATCCATCATAAAATTTATTCAGATTGACTGAATGTGATTTCGTTCATGTATTCGTCATGCGTGCATTGTCACTTATAAATTATCTCTATTATAATTGTGCTTACGAATATTACGAAACAATATATATTTTTAAATATAAAGCAATAACGTAGACAA